GACCGCAAAACAGGAGCTCGCGATTTGTTCGACAAACAAGGATAAAAAGTTGTAATTTTTCTTTATTTTTCTTTGATTTTCATTATAACCGGATCTTATAAAAAGACCGGATCTTTGTAACTCAAAAAGTTGTTATTTAAAGATAGCAATAGAATCAATAATGAAGAAAGACACGATTTTTCCCGCGAACACTTAGCGCTAATATAAAACCTCATAGAGTTACATTGAGTCCTGTTTTGCTTATATCCGGCATATACTGGTATATTAACTCAAGATGCATATATTTTTAAGAAAACAAACAAAGTTCATATAACCAAATACTTTATAAAGAATTGTCAAAGACCAACCAATATTAAAACCAACCACATATGCATCTCAACTTACTACTATATGAAAAGACATGATTATCAAGAAAGAAATAAGCATAGACTTATACCAAATATTCATGTGCGTCACCTCCGAATCAACATTTAACATGTGAGTAAATCGCACAAAAGGAACACTCATCCATCATAGAGTCTCGGTCCTCCAGTTCTTTTATGGAACACGAGAGCTCCACTTATATGGCAGAATATCCTGAAGATCTCGTGAAGAGACTTGATGAGTAGCTAGCCATGATCAAAGCACAATAGGAGGTTATCAATGTACTCCTGGCCTTGATGACTCAAATCGTTGCAGACACGGCCAAATCTCAACAGACAGATTCACCACCCATGCAAGAATCTTCCAGGAAAGGAAGATCGTCTTCATCCCGACCTCACACAAGCAAAGAGAAGGAAAAAGTGGTTGATGATGTTGTTTCTAACCGAGAAGCTCATAACCTAAAATCTTCCTCTGATGAAGGAAGAGAGAACAAGCAGAATCTCCAGTCTGTAAAGATAGAAGAATTAGAAGCTCGTCTTAATACCATCACCAATAGAAGCGAGCTCCAAGATGAGGGAGTTGTTAGACCCTATCTTGTCGAATGGGATACAACCCCTTATCATCCAAAGTTCGAAGTCCCGACGCTATGAGCTTTTGATGGCACGAGATCACTGAACCAACATATTTATTATTTTAAGTCACGGACTGGAAATGTGATATCGAACGATGCTATACTGGTTTGTTTGTTTATTGGCACTCTTAAGGGTTGCCTTTGGTGGTTCATGAAACTGTATGCGGGATGTATCCAAAAGTAGACGGATCTAGAGAGACTCTTCCTGTCAAGATTCTTTGAAGACGATATAGAAGTCTCCATCTATACCCTTCTTGCCACTAAGCAGAAGAAGAAGGAGCCCGTCAAAGCCTTCGTCAAGAGGTTCCGAAGCATGACTCTTCGATGTTCGTCAGGTATGACACAGTCTATCCTAGCGAAGACCTATCGACACAACTTGCAGACCAACCTTCTAGCACAAATGAGGGTTACAGAATATCGTTCCTGAAGATAACTAATCTCTCAAGGTGAACATGCTCAAAAAATTATTGTCAGGGTCAAAGCTGAAGAACAAAGTAAGCAGGATCAACCTGAGTAATGAGACCAAGCCCAATCTTCCCAATCAGAAGGGGAAGATACTACGACCACTGAAGCCAATCCTCTTCAATATGATGGTGGGTCCACCAAAACTATCATATTAACAGTTACCTCTGATAGTTAAACTCGCAAATAGTGGCCTATCAGGTGATGTGTCTCTATTCTGACTTGATAGATAGTGGCCCACAAGGTGATGTGCCCTATCTACCTCTTTTTTTCCCCTGCTAAGTATTAATCAAGACTGGGGGTTGGTTGCTTGGAATCTCTTGGATTAAGAGTAACAAATCTTCTAAGTTGTCATGTTTAACAAAACACCTCTATCAACTATAAAATTCCTCCCCTGCTAAGTCTTAATTAAGATTGGGAGTTAGTTACTTGGAATCTACTAGATTAAGAGTAATGAATCTTCCTGTCAATCCTCTTCAATAGGATAACATGTCTATAAATATCGTCGAGTTAACATTACACTTCTGATGATTTACATCTCCACGGAGTATGAATTCAGCTTGCATCACTCCTAATTTGTCACGCTAACATCACACCTCTGACAATTCACTTATCAATCCCTTTTAATAGGATGATAAGTCCATAAAGTTGCTCTGATCGTAATAAATTCTGTCTCGTTAATATCACACATCTGACAACCAATCCTTTTATCACGTTAATATCATACCTCTGATGACGTCATGTTAACATTACACATCTGACGACCAAATCAACTTATCGACTCTCTTCAATAGAGCGATAGGCCCATAAAATACTGTCACGTTAATATCACACCTCTGACAACTAATCTTTTCATCACATTAATATTACACCTCTGATGACGTCATGTTAACATTACACATTTGACGACTAAATCAACTTATCGACTCTCTTCAATAGAACGATAGGCCCATAAAATACTGTTAGGTTAATATCACATCTCTAACAGTCAAACCCTCCAATGAACTTGTTAATCCTTTTTTAACAAGAATAACAAGTTGTTATTATAAAATTCACAGCGGATTAAAGATTTTCTAAAATTATCCTAGTGATAATGAAGAAAAATTTTGAATTTCACTCTAAGTGAAAATTCATACCAAGTTAATACTACACCTTTGGCACTTTTAATTTTCTTTCAGTGTTTCAAGTAAAAACATAACACAGAAAGAAACAGCGACAAAGCCTACGTATTCAATATTGTAACAGGTTGTTATTAATAACACCAAAATTCATGCCTTACATACATGGGGGACTTTATCTTGATCCCTAATTAGAGATGAGTCTGCATCTAACACATGCTTCCGGGTGGCCTATTCCCGCAATAATGGCGAAGTCTACGTATTCAATATTATAGTACCAAAAATCCATGTCTTTCATATATGAGGGACTTTATCTCGATCCCTAATTACAGATAATCCTACTCCTAACACGCGTTGTCGGGTAGTCCATTCACATGAAATTGACAAAGTCTATGTATTCGGTATCATAGCACTAAGTCTAAGAGAATTCATTCTTTTAGCACAACGTTACTGTGGAACGGATTTAGATAATTAACATGCTAGCCCGACTCAAACGGTAGCCAGTAAAGGCTTATCAAATCCGGTGATGGCTGAGTGTTTGCTAAAAATCCTAAGAATGTTTGTGGGCCCATCAGCTGAATGGATGTGAGCCGTGACGTAACGTTTGAAAGCTTCTGCTCACAAGTAGCTTGTACTGTCGCTACAGTTTCTCTTTGGAGTTCATCCTCACACGAGTCCTGTGTGGCAAATCCCTTCAACCAAGATGCCTTTGAAGCGGGTCCAGAGAACAATTCCTTTATGACAAGGAATTAACAGCTCCAAGATTAGGGTTGAGATCCAAAGTATTCTAAAAATTCGTCTCAATCAACCGTGAACTTTTGAAATATTTAAGAGGGTCCTGTAGGCTATCTAAAAATTACTACAGATAACTGATCCCATCAAACATCGATGATAAAAGTTATAATTTGACGGATTCCAGAAGGCTATAATTTAAAAACTTTCACGTAGATCGATGAAGGTTATAATCTGACGATCTTCATGACAACCGATGAAAGCTCTAATTCAATAACCTTCACAATCAACATCGGGAGTTACAATCTGACGACTCTCATAATTTCAAGGAGCCAAGACGAAGATTACAAAATGATGATCTTCGTAATGCTCTGACAAAAGAGATTACAAGTCAACAATCTCTTCAGATCCAAACATAGAGCTCATTGCTACATTTTCAGCGCAAAATGTAGGGTTCATCGTTGTGTTCTACATCCAAACGCAGAGCTCATTACTGCGTTTTTAACCCAAAACAAGGGTTCATCGCTGCGTTCCAGATCCAAACGTAGAGCTCATTGCTACGTTTTCAATCCAAAATGCAGGGTTCATCGCTACGTTTCATATCTAAATGCAGAGCCCATTGCTATGTTTTTAGCCCAAAATGCAGGGTTCATCACTGCGTTCCAGATCTAAATGCAGAGATCATTGTTGCATTTTCAGTAAAATACGTAGAGCTCAACTCTGTATTCCAGGATCAAGACGCAGAGTTCATTCCAGAATGTGAATTTCATGTTTGACTGGTTCAAACAGAACCTGAACGATTTCAAAACCGTCTGTCCACTTAATGGGGGCGGTTACACACCATAAACCCTCATTAAGGAGAGATTTAAGGGGGCGATTATAACCCTTAAACCCCTATAAATAGTGGGTTTCATGGCTAGATTGAAAAAAAGAGGGAGGATCGGAATTTTGGAGAAGAAGTTGGGCATTTATCATTTTTCAACCGAGAATATTCATCAGCAACAAGGAGCTTTGGTACCTGTCTTATAACCGATTTTCGGTTCAAATTAATTCTTCTATAGAGTTTAAAACTCGCATTGAGTTCCTAAACTCATCAAGAGTTCTGTTCAAACTTGTCATGCAAGTCCTCCTCAACATCAATCAAGAGGAAGAAACTGTGTTCCAGTGAAGTGAAACGTTCGGATCGTCAACGGGATACAAGATTGAAAGCCCATCGACACTAAGAAGAACTTAGTTTTAAACAAAGGGAATGATCTATGTCGATCTTTCTCTCTTTTGTAAGTCGGGAATCTTATCAAGAAGATTTGTAATTTCTTTTTCTAAGTTGTTAGAAAGAATTTGCATTGAGAGAATTATAACTCATTCTTTTTCTAAGTCTATTAGCGAGAATAATAGAAATTCAATTCTCCGTTTTCTTCTTTTAATTTTTCCACCAAACAACGGTCTTTGTGATTTTTGCCACATTTTTAACACTGTCCATCATGTCTTTGAATATCAGGACCTGTCCTCTGTACAAATTGCCCCAATCTCTGTACTGGAACTCCTGACCCCCGAAATGCTAGCTTCTTAAAAGGCCTAAAAGTTGACTTATCTTTCTGATTACTCTCGTCCCTGATTTGCTTCTTTTGGTCCCAGTTTTTGTTTGGTTCATTTGCAATCTTTTCTCCCTCACTTTCTTTTTCAGCCATTTTTGCTCACTCCACTGCCTCCTCAAATGTCTTTGACATAATAACTGTAACATTCTTATGGATTTCTGGCCTCAACCTATTCTCAAACATCTCTATTTTATCAAATTCTTCTACAACTAGCTCAGGTGCATATCGAGATGATTCATTAAACTTAGCTTCATATTCTTCCACTGTCATGTCACCCTGCTACAAATCCATAAGTTTCCTCTTCTTGCAAGACCAGACATACAACGGAAAAAAAAATTCTCCCTGAATAATTTAATAAATCTGCTCCAAGGAATATCCTTCCCTCAAGTGATAAACTGACCTCCTTAGTTTCCCACCAGATCTTTACATCTCCCTCCAGCATAAATGTAGCATAAATAACTTTTTGCTCCTCTGAACACCCTAAGGCTCTGAAGTACTTCTCCATTTTCTTCAGCCATTCTTGTGCCGCAGTTGGATCAGAACCTCCCTGAAAAGAGGTTGGAGATAACTTTTTAAACTTTTCAAAGTCATTGCCAATAGGTTTAGTCTTCTTTTGTGTATTTAGTGCTTTGCTCAGCTTCTCAGTTACCTTCGACTATTTTTCAAGGATCTCCATCTGCCTCTCCATGAATCCACTCTGCATCTCAATAAAACTAGTGAGTCCTTCAGCACCCCATTGAATTTTGGTAATCCCTCTCGTACTCATAGGAGTATAAGTAGTCATTCCCCCACGAGTTTTGGGTCCTGATCTTCCCCTAGCATTCCCATCAGGAACCTCATTTGTAACATTAGGGGACTCGATGTTTTGCCGACCTGCACCAACATTTCCACCAACCCTAGTCCGAGGACACCTACTCGATTGGGGTATAGTCGAAGATAGTGTAACCTCTGCATTAGCATCAAGTCTAGGAGAAGAGCGCCTCGCTGCAACACTAGAGCCTCTCTTCCCACGAGTCATTTCAATCTAACATTACCAAAAACAAACATGTTTAGTGCAAAATATTCATCGTATTAATTATCATTAAATTAATTCATAACATCTTCTTTATCACAAGCCTAAGTAATTAAATAATATTTTCATGAAACACATACACTAGACATGCTTTAAACTACCCAGACTAAGCATTTTACCTTTAAGAAAACAAAACTAAAGAAATTATGTGATCCATGGCTCTAAGCTTATATACCCCTATACCAGAAATTTGATCTGATAATGTTCATATTATCCTCGATCACACTTCAAAATAAATTATCATATTTCATCATTATTATTATTTCCTCTAACTCTAAATAGGACCTACAGCCTAGGCTTTTATACCAATCTATCACGACCCTAATTTTTGAACCTAAAAGGAATATTGGAGTTAGACTAAACCTGTGAAAAGTCGGACTAAACCTGTGAAAAGTCCTCCAAAAATATACATTCATTAAAAGACCATCAAAATAATCTCTTCATTAAACTAAAACCAACAATAAATATTCTCTTTAATCTCAAAAGTCAACATTAATCCAATTAACTTGATATAAATAAATATTCCTCAACTTGAAATAAAACTCGACCTAAAGAAAAGAATCTCATTATTACAAAACTCTTAATTTATCAACTAAACATCAAAGACTTTATTTAACCTTCACCTAGAAGACAATAACAATCTCAAATTTTATTCATTGCTCCGGTCTAAGAATTTGAAAAATCATCGAGCAATTCCACCTAATCCCGAGTCTAAAGAAAAGAATAAAAATAACACAATGAGTTCACAACTCAATAAGTAGATAAATTTGTACATTGAACACTGAATTTGCAAAATTTTGAATATTTTGACAAATGATAAGCAAAATATAAGAATGATAGAGAATCATCAATGAACTCTTATACTTGATGTAAATATTTAAGAAAACTTAAAAACTATAAAATGGAAATAAGCAGGCTATGTCTCAATGTGGTTAACACTTTATACTCTGGTTGCCTCAGTAAACCCCACAATTATTAAGCATGTGGTTCCGGGATGGTGAGACCCAAATTTGGGCTCTTAGCGCTAAAATAAAACCTCATAGAGGTACGTTGAGCCATGTTTTGCCTATATCCGACATATACCCGTATATTAACCCGAGATGCATATATTTTTAAGAAAATGAATAAAGTTCATAAAACCAAATACTTTATAAAGAATTGCCAAAGACCAACTAGTAGCGAAACCAACCACATTTACATCTCAACTTACTACTATATGAAAAGACATGATTATTAAGAAAGACTTATACCAAATATCCATGTGCGTCACCTCCGAATCAACATTTAACATGTGAGTAAATCACACAAAAGGATATAATTCATCAAAAATAAATTCGCATATAATGTAAAACCCCGTAAATTTGAATATTTTATGATAAATATGTTATATGGTGAAAAATAATATATTTTGAAACCCCGTAAATTTGAATATTTTATGATAAATATGTTATATGGTGAAAAATAATATATTTTGATGTTTGGATATGATAAGAATTGATTTGAGATCAATTCAATGTATATTTGTGAAAATATGAGTGCAAATGCACAAAACATGCACAAAGGCCAAACGAGTAAAAATCTGGGAATAATGACCAGTTATGAGTTTTTATGTTTTGCACACCGATGCAGTTAGAATTTGGAAAAAGTGTAAAAGACCAAAGTTGTAGGTCTCTTTAACAACTTTCCAACAAGTCTTAGATCACCTCATTTCGAGGTCGGATGAGAAAGTTACAGCCAAAATACAGAAGGTTGTTTTTCCTAGTCAGACTAGGTTTCCTGGTTCGGGTCTAACAGGTTTGTTTCGGGTTTGCCTCTATAAATACCTGTATTTTTCACAAAAATTACTTTCTTTTATGATATCTAAGAACTCTAACAGCCACCAAACCCCCATAAACCCTATTACCACAGAACGATTGAGTAAGAGTATTATAATAGTATCGTTATTACACGTATCCGGAAATAGGAAGATAAAACCTATTTGCCGTAGAACGATTGAGTAAGAGTATTACAATACTATCGTTATTACATGTATCCAGAATAGGAAATTAATAAACCTTATTGCCGCAGAACGATTGAGTAAGAGTATTACAACAGTATCGTTATTATATGTATCCGGAATAGGAAAATAATAAACCCCATTGCCGCAGAGCGATTGAGTAACGAGCATTACAAAAGTATCGCTATAGTATAAGATGATGCACACATAGATAATTGATCAGTTGTAAGTTTTACTTCCCAAATAGATTGCCCGCGAGTAGGGTATTTCCTTTGAGAATTTGATACACCCGTAATGGACGACAGATATATTTGTTTTAGCTTAGTTGGTATCCTCTTATATTAGACCAGGTCACTCGGACGTAATTCGAGATGAGATGATTATTCTTTATGTTGGAGATTGGAGTATTTATCATTGATTATTTGTTTTTCATTCATAGAGAGTTATATGAATGATTTGATATATGTATGTACTGACTCTATTTTCTTATATACTCCTACCCCTTCCCCTGGGGAGAGGTAGTGATGATCTCGCTAGCGCTTTGACGCTCGTTGTTTTCCCCCCTTTCAGGCAGCGAGTCTGGCGCACGGAGAGTCGCAGGTTGATGGGACTTCCATGTCCATTTAGTTACTTATCATATTTTTGTAGTTATTGTAGAACTCCACATGTATTTGATTATTTTCAGAATCTAGATTGGTATTTTGTTTCATAGAGTTGAGAGCTATTATGAGACTTTGTTTATTCAGAATCTAGATTGGTATTTTGTTTCATAGAGTTGAGAGCTATTATGAGACTTTGTTTATGTGACTCGTTGTATTTGAGATTCAGTTCAGACTCAGAGATATGTCTATTTCATCCCAGTTAGGCTCATTATTGATTTTTCATATGCTTCTTTTGTGTACATTCGGTGTTGTTCTATTTTTATTTCTATTTTTGTCTGTCCGTACCTTCACCTATTTATTGTTTCCACTAGAGAGATAGTAATTGTGATGGTGAAACATGTCGTAGCATGGTGTTTGGTGCTTGGCAGGTTTGACAATCCGGGTTTCACCTGGGACTACAGCCTTGTATGAACCCTGGGGTGTCACAGTTGGTATCAGAGCTCTAGTTCCAGTATCATTAGGATCATTCCTGTGTCAAATTGGAGCTAGGATAGAGTTTCCTAGGATTCACGTATAGAGTCCGTTAGGAATTCCTAGAATGAGTGAGGACGATATGTACGTATATCTCAAAATTTCAAAAAAAAATTTATGACAATTCTTTTATATTGATTTAAAGTATTTGTGTGAATACTATATGTTATGAATACGTATTGTGATACGTTATATATATGTATATATGTTTGCGGTCTCACTTACTGTGATCATAAGCTCTCCTCTCGATATTATAAATATTGGAACGAGGATATGGCACCGTTTGCAGAAACAGAGACTAGCAACACTCGAGGAGGGAGTAGCGAGCCACATTACATTTTCTGGAGTTCCACCACCCGTTGTACCAATTGTACCTATTGAAGAGGTAATACTAATGATTATATTATCACAACCATTTGTTGATAGAGATACAGAGCAGGAGGCTTGGCTCTGTAAGAATAAGAAAGATGTAGGACACTGAGAACACCATAGTGTAGGACACATTGGATTCATATGCAGCTTATAAATAAAAAAATATGTGAAAATTCCTTAACATAGACTCAGTATCAAACCAAAGGTTAAATATATTCAGCACAGAGGATATCACCGGAGAATAGCAGCAAAGAATAGCTACGATTTCAGATTTTCATCGGGACAGTGAATATCACTTATTTGGGAAAATTTTGTTTACTTCTTCGACAAGCAGTTAGAGCTAGTTTGCTTAAAATAGTAAGATATGCCTATAGTTAATTACAAAATCTAGACTAGCATGATGGCAATGTCAAGGACAAGAGGCCTATTATGGGATCTAGAGGACCCCAACAGCGGGGTAAGGATTTTTACCAACAGCAATAAAGACATTACAAGAAGATAGCAAACATGATTTGATAATACCGCAGCAGCGCATGATTCGGGACACATGATACAATTATAATAAGATCGGACATAGAGCGAAGAATTATCGCAGTACACCAGCAGGAGACTAGCATGATAGAGATCAGGGCCAATAATCTTAGGGCAACAGTTACGGCTAGCATTGGAGGACAGATGTGCTACCGGTTATTCTGAGGATGCAGGGGCCTATAGGCCAGAATTGCGCTATTTAGAGTATTCATCAGTGTCAGATGGACCCATGTGTTTCACCGCCAGCAGCGTAGTAGGCGTCGGCCACCAACAGAGTTTATATAGTCGCGCCACGTGATCATAGTGCGAGCAGAGTTTTCATAGTAAATTCTTATCCAGCTTGAATCTTGTTGATTCAGAAGCTTCACATTTTTTTTATTTATCTATCATGATGTCATGATTAGACATCAGCTTGAAACGCAGCGTTTAGGCGTTCCATTATCAGTTTGTACTCCTTTAGGGGAGGTGTCCCTATTAGAGAGTATATGTAGGAGATGTGTCATCAATATGAATTTCGACGTCATTCTTAGTATGGAATGGTTATCATCCTACAATATCAGTACCGACTGTTTTGCTAAAACAGTACTCTTGTGAGTATTCGTTAGGATTGTATAGATAGTAGCAATCCCATAGGGTAACCAGAATGCGGAGTCATTTCTGACATACGTCGAAGAGGTGATGATACGGGATCGGGGTGCAGTTTTGAGCGAGACCGGAGTTATCTCAGTATATCAGGATGTCTTTCAGGACATACATATGTTTTCTCCAGTGAGAGAGATTGTTTCCCTGCATCGAGTTACAGCAGGCACTGTACCGATTTTCCGAGCACCCTATCATATCTTATGGCACCCGCTGAGAGGAGGGAGCTACAGACTCAGGTAGATGAGTTGTTAACTCAGGGCTTTATTTGTCGGAGTCAT